TTGAGTTTTTTGGGGTAGGGATAGTTCAATAGTGCCCACCGCAGCCGCATCGCATCCCTTGACGCCCTAATCAACACACCGGATGGCGACTGTAGATGGGTGGGGGGGGGGGGCGTAGCAATTTTCCTCAGCGCAATGTTTGGCATTCGGTCGAAGAGCTTTTATGATGCCAATGCAAAGAGCGAGCAGATTTCATTAAAATGCATACATGGGACCTCTCTGGAACACCAACTATATTATTCATTTACATACATGAGTAAAATGTCAAGCGTTCTCATCAGCTATCAAATTAGTATAACTACATAGTGATAGAAGTTACCGCCTTCTCTAAGCGAGAACATCTTTGTAGGGCCCAACCGAGGTGCAACTTGCCAGCATAGGCTCAGGCACCAGGGTCGAGCATCAGCAGTAAATTGGAGGGTTGGTGCGACAACTGCCTAGAAAGGGGTGCCCGTAAGACCCTCCCCCCTTACTGGATTGTGGACAGGGTACAGCATCGTGAAGTGTGAAAAGGTGGTGTCAGTATGACCCCCCTCTATCTTCCCCCGATGCGAGGTCCCGTATGACCCTCCCCCGTCGGGGGCTTCGGCTGTAAACGTGTTGGAAGGCTGACGAGAAGAAAAGAACGGAACGATTTGCCTGCTGGACAGCCGAGAGAGGCTACTGACACCGCCCGCCCCGCGAGGGAGGCGTATTGGATAGGGGGGAGCAGGTAAACTGAGGCCCCCATCAATCATCCAAACAAAGACAATTGGTGAACACGCACCCCTAAGGGTGCTTGTACAAAGACATATCGGCCCATCTCCGATTTTGTTAGTTGATAAAGCATAAACAAAAACATTCCTAAACTAACCCACCCCCCCCCCCCCACCCCACATAAACTACTACATGAATAACCTATACAATTTTTGATATATTTTTGATATAATAAAACAAAATAACAGTAACCACACTACAAATATTGCATAAATTAGACCTAGACTACCTGTACTGCTACAAAAAGCTTCAACGTCGACCATACTCTGCGCGTAAATCTCTCAGGTAAGGAGAGCCCCCTGAACGAGACCCGAGCTGCGATCCGAGCGCAAAAATCAACGTCATCTTTGTACTGTTCCGTTTTCTACCTACTTGCAATCTGTATCTTCCCCCGTTCGTGAAATATTTCGGATGGGTTGCGGATGGGTTAGGGGTAAGTCGGGTTTTTATGCGTCTTAAAGAAGCATCTTCTTTCGAATACAATCTTTTTCGAAATTAAATACACCACCAGAACGCACAGGCTTTTTCTTCTTTTTCTTCCCAAAGAACTGTACAGCTCTTCTGAGGACCCGCTTTGAAAGATACTTCAGATGGATTGTTTTCGGGCGAGGTTGCTAAGCCACACAAAAGCTTGACTTTTTCTGTGCCATCGTCGGGATACTCGTTCGCGGACTTCTATATGCCCTCAAAACAAATATCTCCGTTGAACTGAGTGGGAGCATAATTTGGTTATTATCAATCGACTTTTTCTGAGAGTGCGCTGTGCATACGCTTCTACGCACAGGTGGTGAACAGTTGTAACTTTTCAGTTTAGGTGGTTTTTGTCAATGCGAGCACAGGTTCCACACGAATCTGTTTTAGATGTATAATTTAGTCATCTACATACTTACAAGTCCATGCTAAGTATTGAAATTGCTAGTCAATTGATTTGATATTTTGTAGTCTTCCTTACATTCGGGTCCCTGCAGCTTTCCGTGCGCTCCATCAAACTCAGCAATGACCTCTTTGTACCGTTTGATGCTCGCCGACCATGCGTTTAGGACCCCTCCCCCTTCCTCAGTGGCCAAGAACGACCTCCCTCCTGTAGGTTTCACACAACGGCATTGTACTCTGCATGGAAAGGACCGCCCTTGGAGATGACCAGTTTCCACTGCTGATGGAAACGGGCTAAAAGGCTCTGTCGAAATCTAACCTGCCCCCTCCACAAGGAACGCTTAAGGTGACTTAGAGGGATCTCTGAAACATCAGGCGCAATGATTGCTTGGATGAAATGTTCACATCGCAATGGCAGGTGTTATAGTGCGCATGAATTAATCAAGTAGTTACTTTTAGAAGATATTCCGCTGAACTACTTCCTACCTAGTAAGCCTTTTTGAGTCCCTTCAATGATCGAATGCGATGATTTCGACCTTGACACTGGTTTCTACCTGAACTTCATGCATTCGCTTTCTGTTGTGGCAGTTCCTTTGAATGTGCTGAGTATATTCTGTATTCTCTACAAGTCAACGAAGCAAATGGGGTCTTATAAATGGTATTTGCTGATCTACCAGCTGACATCGACCGGTATTCGATCTCACTTACCTGGCACTCACTTTGCCGATAATATTCTTCCCAATACCAATGGGTTATCCTGCTTCATGGATTGCGCCATGGATTTCCATCACCAGCCACTTATCAGTTCTCCTGGTTGTTTACATAGGTTCATTTCTTGCTGCTACCATCGTCAGCCTGTTTATATATCGGTGCCATGTCGTCACTCCGACCGTTCATTTCTCGAGAATCAACAGTCACGGTAAGTGGGTGAATTTTGAGCTATAAAGTAAGAAAGGGTGTTTGTGGCAAGCTAATGTATTACCAGTTAGCTCGCTACTGGCGCGGCGCGCTTACTTTTGATACGGCAGGGCTTCACCGGGCGAGCGCGGCTTCGCCGCGCTTACCTTCTTCCACATGGTTCTATACCCAACTAATATCCGAGTTTTTTTTTACCTGAACGGATGACCAACGCTCCTTGTCCAATCACATAAAACCTGCCATTTTCAACACTATTACTGTGCAGGGATTGGTGATTAAAAAAAAGGATAAAGTCTTCGCCGTGGATCAATCCCTTTAGGGGATGCGACACGCATTCTACTTCCATTCAGAATCGTAGTGGCTTGCGAGTGCGTGTGGCCTATACAATGACTTGGGGGGGGGCAGCCGATGGGATCCAGTGTTCTTATCCTCCCAGGCGAATCCGGTACCATTTTGCCTTCCCCGGAGACTGGAAGGCTTGGTTGGCGTAGGCGTCAGTGTGAGAGGGTTCCACTGGTGCTTGCGAAAAGCCTTTCACATTGACGGCCAATGTCCCTCGAAATGATGCTTTTCCTTGAGCCAGGGCCCTTCTACGGGCCTTACGGGAACTCAAAAAAGCTGGAAAAGTTAGGAAGTTCAACAGGCGCCCACCCTCTCATACACTGTGTTACAGTATTGTGTTGTGGTACTGTGTTACCTTCAAAAAGATGTTACTCCACTTCACAGCCTTTTGCTCTGATAGCGAGTTACCTTTCCTAACACCTTCACCTAATAAACCATGACGCATCATCGCACAACCACGCAGCGGGGAGCGTAATTAACTCCTAGGTTTTTTCAAACCAGCTGGCTTCGCCGGCGCGCCATACGAATGCAGACAGGCGCGATGCACCACGCCCCGCAAGGCCGGGCCAGTATCACAGAGGAGGCCTGGAGTGCTCTGGAACCGCTTGAAGAAACCTTAGGGCCGCCATGCCCACCTCGACGCACGTTCCACCCACAACGGGTATGCCTCACACCTGTGAACCGGTGACCCCTCGATGACCTACTTTTTCCCGGTGTCTGGAGCATTCAGGAACCGTTTCAGGAATTTTTAAAATTGGCCCTGCCCACCTCGCCGCACGCTCCGCCCACAGCGGGGTGTGCCTCACACTTGTGAACCGATGACCCCTCGCTGATCTCAAACTACTTTTCCCGGTGTCTGGAGTGCTTGGAACCATTTTGCGAATTCTTTCCGAATTTGGCTCCGCCACCTCGGTGCCCACAACGGGAGTGCCTCGCAAATTCCTGCATGTGATCACTTCGGGGGCCATAATCCACTTTTTTGCCATCTGTAGTGCTTTAGGACCAAACTACGGTTTTTTATACTGGTACCTCGTGTTCAAATGCACGCCCCGCCCACTGTGGGCGGGCCTCAGCATGCCGCAAACATGGTGGACTCTTGCCAGATGTTCATCTTCGTCATGTACTTTTCTGCGATCTCTAAACATTTTCGGGAACCGAGTTACCGATTTTTATGGAAAGCACCGCCCATCTTAAGTACGCCCGTCTCGGGTGTGTCTCCTCCGTTTGGTCGGTCAGCCCTTTGCTGACTTTACTGGTTCCCTTTTCTGTTACTGCTCTGGAACCGAGTTATGACTTTTTTAGTGACATCGCTAACTTTCGACGCACGCCCCGCCCACTGTGGGCGGGGCTTACCATGGGTCATGGGTGCTATTTAGGTTTTGTCCCATGCTCTATCCATCCCCACCATGACCCGACCTTCCAAGTTCTTCTTCAGGTGCTATGAATTTCGTGACAAACAGACAGACGCACACACAGACACACACACGCACACGGACATAGCCGATTATATATAGTAGGATGCCACTTTTTCCGTTCCAGGCTCACCAACTACCTTCTCCTCCCTCCCATCCCATTCAAGCTCCCGCCTCGCCTTCGTGGATTCACCGTTATGTAGTATCAGTGCATCAGTCTAAAAATAATTCGCTCATTATGTCTTGCCCGTAAAACCCAGTACTGCAATGCTCGGCAGTACCTTCGTGCGAAATGTGGAGATGAAGGAAACCTTACCAGTCCTTATAATTAGTTATCTTTTTCTGTTGACCATAGTCGACTTCTCCATCACACGTCTTATATCACATGCCTGAATCAACGATTTACCGTTGCTGCGGCTCTTGCTATGATATTGGTGATCTTAGCTCCGGGATACCTCCTAGTAAATCAAAGGTAACCGTTTTCCAGGTCATGTCTATAAGAATGCTATCCTATTCCCGCTCTGTACCATTCCTGTTCTTATTACTTCATTCGATATTTTGCCTGACCAAGTAGAGGCAAGGATATGGGCAGAAAAGGTGATTGTTAACGGTATGAACTTCTAGAATTGTCGACCCGTGTAGAACGTGAAAGTGAAGAATGAACTGAAAAAGGGTAAGCTCAAAAACATCTCTACTAATTATCACACTTCGAAATTCACCTACGCAAATATACCCTTCATATCCCATGGATGGAGGGTCAGTGGCTGCGTACATTAACGCGGATCATTTGAACGTGGCAGCAGCTGTGCTCCTGGAGTGATATTGTACCTTCAATATAGATGCCACCATGATTTTATCTAGTACAAGGTAGGACAACACTTGTAACAAACGGTCCCTGCGAGCAACGCATCCTAGCGCCATGTTCAGGGAAAGTACGCAGATTCACCCACTCCATCGCTACCATGTGCAATGCATTTCATCAACCCCATGGATCATAATGTGAACCGATATCCACATCGAAGCTCCATGTGGCTCTAAAGCTTCTTTTTTGAAAGAAAAATAAGCCGTCCCCGAAGGAATGAGAGGTGCAGCGTAAGTGTGCGACTTACACTGAAACTTGTTGACATAAGAAGCAACGGGAAAAGAAGGGCCCGTAAGATGGGAGATCAAAGAATCAAAAAATTTGGAAAAAAGTGTGGCCCATTTTACAGTTCAGCAGGCTCAGGTGCGCTTCTTTACAGTTCTATTTGCTGCGGATGATGGGCGTGTTATCCGCAGCAAAGTAAGTGGGCTTTTGAGGAAAGGGCGCAGGTACGCCCCCGTTTTTTCCTTTCAGTGGGTGACAACATTATCATTATCGCTCGTTTTGTATGTCTATCTCTGTTTCATATGTCTTTTGTGCTTCACCCGCTTTTCAATACTGTCGATCCGGTCACGTGAGCTGGCGTGCCACGGCCGCCAAATGCGCCCCCCTATGGCATCACCTCATCGTCCGGATGAATTAAGACTGCCCGTACGCGGGCTTCCCCTCTGCCCGCGGGCTGGGTATTCGAATAAATGAACAAATGGTCTGCATATCCCGTGACATGCATGATCATGGTCTGAATGGACCCTGTCTTAACCAAGCACCAAGTCAGGTGTCCCCTGCTCAAATCGTCACTGCTCAAAATGATCGCTAACTCACGCCGAGGTCGTTCAGGGACGTGGCAGCGCTCTTTTGAAAATCCGTGCTTGTATTGATGGCATGTCGGGTTACCTGCATGGAGTACCAAACTGGTGTGCATTTTTTCTCTGAACGCCCTCTGAATGCCAAAAAACTCGCGATTGTTGAGAAAAGAACGTCATGGAACCGACTGTTTTGAGCCTGAATGGGCTCTAAATCACTCGCAACTTCGGCCAGTTGCTGCCTATAGGGTCCTTATAAAGGTACTGGTATCGATGAGAAAAGTAGTCGCCAATGGGGTCCTACTTGTGGCACGTAGTCCCCAATTTGGAGCCAAGTCTTTCTCCCACTGGAGTCGCTATGTACATTCGTTTGAGGGACTTGCAGGGCCATTCTGACGCCAGATTGGATTGACGTCAAGAATAAGTGTCAGAATCGTGATCAGGACCATCGATTACCCCTATAGGCAAACTTTCAGCCAAAAAATTTTTTTTTTTTGACCTCTTCTCTTTGCAGTTGTGCGATAGAGCGACCAGTTGGTTTCGGTGTGGATGATCGAAGACCCACAATTTGGAGCTGCGGCCATGATCCTGCCCGTAGCGATGACGTGGTGGGCCGCCGGGCAGCCGCATCGCGGATTTGGTGCTCATAAGGTCCATTCATACTTGGCATGGGCATGGGTGGCCGCAGACTCAGAACAATGTTGAAAAACCATCCTGGGACATTTTGTCGGACCCCGCTCGACGGTCTCGCTCAACGAAGATGTCGTCTCCCCTACCAAAAAAAAAAAAAAAATAATCTGAGGAGAGACTCATCCGATTTCTTCATCAAATGCACCTGGAGGAATGATGACTATTTTGTTCTTTTTTCGATGGCGTTTATGGTTGTTGCTAGTTTTTTGTTTCCGTACCACTGAATGAGGGTTTCGATAACCAGCAAAGTACGACTTCAAACAAAGTGACGTTTGAGCAAAAAACCCAAATGACAACTCCAATAATGGGCGCAAAGTCTCAATAAAAAAATTTTTTGGCTGCTGAAAGTTTTGGCTATTAGGTGTAATCCGATGGTCTTTGATCACGCATTCTCTGACACTTCATTCTTGGACAGTCAACCCAATCTCGGTTTCAGAATGGCCCCGCAGTCCCTCAAACGAATACATAGCTCGGACTCCACTGGGGAGAAAGCTTGGGCTCCAAATTAGAGATAAATGGCACTAGAGCTGAAAGTAAATGCCATAGTCATGATCAGGGCATCGAATAACGTAAGCTCAGCTTTCAGACGAGTTCTTTGGTTGATGGTATGTGAAGATCGAAATCGAGCTGAATAGCACCGACTACGGGCTATAACTATTTAGGATGTGCCTATAAATGGCAGATATCCGAGTAAAATTCATTAACAGACGTATATGGAAGCGACAACAACGGAAAATAAAAAATGCAAAAGTCTGGAAGCGGGGGAGTCGAACCATCATCCCCATCCCCACCGTCTGCTTGAGAATCCTCCACGCTATCCACTAGGCCATCCGATCGTTGGCGCAGGCACCACTTCGATTGCTTAAGAGCCCATTCGAATTGGCCGTCGACTCTTAACTACGTGCCACAAGTAAGACCCCATTGACGACCACTTTTCTCATAGATACCAGTACAACCTTTATAAGGACCCTATAGGCAGCAACTGGCCGAACTTGCGAGTGATTTAGAGCCCATTCAGGCTCAATAACAGTCGGTTTACGATTGGCTGTTTGCACTCCCATCTTTTGGCATACGAGCTGGGTATTCGAATAAATGAACAAATGGTCTGCATATCCCGTGACATGCATGATCATGGTCTGAATGGACCCTGTCTTCAACCAAGCACCAAGTCGTGCTCAAATGTCACTGCTCAAATGTCACTAAGTCTCTGTTCGGAAGGTCACTCGAGCCTTTTATGTGAGGAATAGGTTTTACGAACGACCATTTCAACATCATGGAAAGTTATCTCATATCAATGTCCCATTTCAGGAGTATACATGCGCAAGATCAGCTCTGTCTGTTCCCCGACTTCAAATTTTTATCCCGTATAAACTGCGAGCAATTACCATAACGATAACAGTGCTGCACTGCATTGCATTTGTGATTTCTCTCAGTTGTGTGATTGTATCCTTCAATTTTCTACGCGGAAATGGGAGCATGTCACAAAGGACAAAGGATATGCAAAAACGTTTTCTACTGCATCTCTCTCTTCAGGTACGTGATGTGGTTTCCAGTCACCATGCCTTCCACCTTATTTCATTTCTACCCAATTAGATCGAAAATCACAGAAAAATGGCAAAGTTTAACAGCCCTTCTTTCACGTGCCACCTAAATTCTGGTTTTCTTAGATATTGTTTACCAGTCGGATCACCCGGCCGCCGCCGGGTGCTCCTCCTTCTTCAGCCTGGCTTCGCCACACTCTTTCCTTAGACGAGGTAGAGTGTGCAAAATACGCCTAACCGTCACAGTGCATTTTCCAGCAAAATGTAGAAAAATAATTGAAAATAGCTCGAGCAATGGGTTAAAGTTGAATCTGGCCAGAGGATCGTGCAACATACAGCGCTTTGTTACTTCCGAAATTCTAATGACATCAAAAGAAAGAGCCTGACGCCCCTTATCCAATCTTATCAGATGCTGGCAGTTTTTGTCACCAACCTAGTGTTCCTTTCCTAAACCCTACATCGTATCTTGGAACCAACCTCCTACTGTTGCTGTGACTCGCGTGATGGACTCAGTGACCATACCCTTCTAACATCTCGAATCTTATCAGCAGCTGACAGTTCTTGTCATCCACCAATAATGTTCCTGTCCCATACCCTAAATCATATGTTGGAATCAACACCTGGCTGATGCTGTGACCCGCATTACGAATATGGTGAGAGTCCCCTCTTATCAGATATTATCAACTGATATCAATCACTTCCTATCACCCACCAATAGTGTTCCCGTCACACCCTCTACGTCACTTCTTGGAACCAATATCTCGCTGCTACTGGGACCGGCGCTATGAATTTCGTGTCAAAGAGACAGACGCACACGCACGGACATAGTCGATTATATATGGTAGAATTGTAACCGTTGTCCCAATGTAACGCTGAAATCTATCCTTTTGTCCATTCTTTTCTCGGGTTAGTACCAAAAATCTCCATAACCCTCACACGAAAATTCAGCAACCTGTAAGAGCAGCCTTCGAAGCATCCTACCGCTTATGCGTTCTCCACCACTGTAGGGTTTTTTTTGGAACTGAAAAAACAACCGTCATGCATCTGAACTCCAGTTGCTTTAGCGGCCGTACATGATGTCGATAGCGGTAAGAGCATAGGAGTGAGTTGTGTACGAACTACTGAGAGCCTGATACCTGTCATATCAATCGCATTGTGGCAGTAAGCGGTGTTGCGGATTCCCGCATGATGACGCTTTCAACCCTTATCAGTTCATCTAGCGTCAGTGGGTTCCCGCCCTCTTCCCCCTATACCACTTCTTTGAACCAAGGTCCCACAGACCCTGCAACCTGCCCTACGAAGTTGGTGTTGGTGACCCTCCGCATCTAAGGCCCCGTTATCAGATGGTATAAGCTTCTGTCACCAGCCAAAGTTTTTCCCGTCCTGCCTTGTATATCACTCCTTGAAGTCAAGGTCCCGCAAGGTCCCGCAAGGTCCTCAAGGTCCCGCAGCTGCTGCACTCGCGCTACGATTTCGGTCACCCTCCCTTCTAAGGCCCCTTATCGAATCTTATCAGGTGTTATCACCTCCTGTCACCCACCAAAAGTGTTCCCGTCCTGCCATGTATATCACTTCTTGGAACTGTCATCCTATCTTTTCTGCGACGCTCGAATTTCGTGACAGACAGACAGACGCACACACAGACACGTATACACACACACGGACATAGCCGATTATATATAGCAGGATATACGTTTCAACTGTATAGTCTGTGATACCATTGATCATAGAATTGCTCGAACGGAAGTGTCAGTAACGTCTCGCCGTTCGTCTCTGCAACGCGTTAGAAATCCTCAATGGGTTCGAGGTACATGGAGATTAGCACACATCCCTAAAAGGTTCTTCACGTGGATGTTGATCTCTTTTTGTCCGGGATGAATTGAAATCCAGGTCGTTTACGCTGGTGGTATAAGCTACCCAAAATTTCCTCGCGCGTAGATAAACTCTAGTTACCCAGGTTAAGGGACTTCGATAACCGCATGGAAAAGCCTTCTCCACATCGGTGAACGTGAAACGTGCGGCATCTTGCGCTGTCGCAATACTTTGGAGAAATTCTTTAACGTGTGAATGTGATCAGTGGTGCTGAATCCTATTCGAAACCCCGCTTGCTCGTATGGCTGTCCTTCGTCTAGTGTTCTGTCAATCCTGTTCAGGATGACTCGTGTGAAGAGTTTGTAGATTACAGACAGCAGGCTGATTCAACAATTTCGTGCGTGTCTCCGTTTCTATACAGTATTACAGCAGTTTTGTTCTTCCACGAGGTGGGTACCTTGCATTCCGACAGGTAGCGCGTGAAGAGTCGAGCCAGAGTTTTGACGAGAACTGGCGGAAGATTCTTCAGATAGTTGGGTCTAATCCTGTAGGGACCGGCTGTCATGCGATTCTTGACCGCCGAGATGAGTTTCGGGCCGCGAAAAAGAGAACTGAAGGAGCGACGTATATATCCTGGCGAACATACTGTCAAAGAGATCGGGGTAGCTTTCGTGGGTGAAATTCTCCCTTCGAGATGGAGCGATTGTCCCGGACCTGCAACCGTCTTGGTCTCACAGCTGCAAAGTTGCAGCTAGAATTCTAGTTCTTCTCTCCTTTGGCTGAAATTCAAGTTCTTCTCTCCATTTCTCTCCTTGAGGCACTCTTTTGTCACTTCTTTGCATAGACTGGCAAGGCCACAACGTCAGGTAGTTGGTTGCTTGCGGCTCGTGCTGCTATACGCCGAGAATCAGCTCAGGAGTTTCCAGAGATGAACGCTTCTTAGTAATCTTGGAGCTAACTGACTTCTTTAGACGTTAAGATGTTCGACAAGCCGTTCGTATTCCTCATCAATGCCATCGAGAACGGAATCCTCCCAGATCCCAACGAGAGATGTGGAGTGATCCTAACTGATGACGGTCTGAGATTTCGTTGCGGCTCTCTCTCTCTCTCCTCGCATCGAGAAACGGAATTCTGCGCGAAGGAGACGGTGGCCGATCCCGTTTTAACTTAGGAACAAAGGCGACGTCGATCAAGCAAAACCTTCAGTTGAAGGTGATGTGTCGATATCGGTATAAAATGTTCCACCGACAAATTTCCTCGCCCACAATAGAGAGAAGTGCTTTCGGAACTACAAGTTATCATGGATGGTACGAGTCGACATGATGAACTCAAGCAGCCTTCTCACCTTGCTCATTCCGCTCCATCCGTAGGTTGCCATGTGAAGCTCCTGATCCGTCCTTCTGGTCCGATATTAGCCGTCGCTGATCTTCGAAAAGGGCAAGGTGCTCCTGCTTCGAGCTTTTCTCGTCGTAACTCGGTGTTCGGGCTTAGGCGAGTGGATGGTCGAAGCCGCAGTTCAACCGCATCTTCTTGACCGCAAACATCCGATTCTCTTCGTTAGGTTCCCGAATGAGTCGATGATGGCTAGGTGTACGTCGACGAGGACACATAAATCGCCGATGCCTGTGCTATCGCATGTTTTTTTCAGTTTTGTAGTCGACGTGTGGCAGGCTCGTTCAGTTCGGTGTCGTCGTACTTGATCGTCCTTAAACTCATCAACAGCGGAAGGTTCGTGCAGTAGCAGTATAGATCGTCATTCAGCTATGCGGCTTCTTTCCCAGTAGGCCCTGAGATTCTCGCAGACTCTCCGGAGCGCTCCCGACTAACT